TAAAAATTCTTAATCCAAATTTTATATTCATCAGCAATTCTGTTTCAATAAGACTCATGCAACGTTTCTATTTAATTTTTGTTATTATTTAATTGTTTATACTTCATTTCAGCAAAGTGTGTAATTTTGTTTTAGAGGCTTTGAACTAAATTCTACTATAAATAAATAAATAAATAAAATTAATTAAATGTGAAATTGACAGTTTTTGGTTTCGATGACTGTGACATTATTAAATTGTTACTTAATTGTTTTTCAAGGTTGAAGATGGCATAATATATTTGGATTATAATTGGAAAGTACATATAATTGAAGTAAAATTGTTTTAATTTAAAATTATAATTAATTATTTCCGTTTTAACTATATTTGAATAATATTTACAACAAAATTTTGTTTAATACGAGTAGTACTTAAATTGTTTAATTAAGATCATAAAAAATTTGTTGCGCGAAAATGATATATATATATATAAAAAGTCAGTTTATTTATATATATTAGTGTAGATTAAAATTAATAACTAAAAATATTATTTTATTATGACAAATGTTTTTCTTAATGATCTGATATATAAAGTACTTCCTAACTTATAAAATGTTCACACTGCATTTTTTATCAAAAACTATGTATTATAGTTCTTCGAACGAAGAAAATGATTAGACATATTAATATGATTAAAAACTGCCTATAAAATTTATGGCTAAAGAAAACATTTAATAAGTAGTATATATATAGTTTAAATAGATGTTTTATATAAATATTCCATATAACGTAATTGCTTTATTACTAATTTTAAATTTTTTTACACAATATTTTCAGAATTATTTTTAAAAAATTATTCATGGTACTTACTTTATAATAAACAAAAGCTAGTTATTACTTTAAGCTTTTCAATTTTATAAATTACATTTAAATGCCATCGATAACTCACCTGTAAAGAGAAAATAAATAAATTAATTACATAGTTAAATGGTAAAAATTTTTTATATAAAAAAATAAAAAAAAATAAATAAATAAATACATTAAAATACTTTTCTCTACTTTTTACTGTGACTAATAAGCTCTGCTTTTATCTCAGTGCATTAAAATGTAATAAGTTTGAAACTATTACGACCGGAAGTATATGAAGGCGACAAAAATAAAGAGACTTTTTAATGACTAATTGTACCAGTAAAAGTCAAACTTATAAAAAAAAAGAGATTAAATCGTTCAACTTTGTCAGGAGGTTGCACAGGTTGAACATAAAAAATTGGACTGTCATGGATGTCAATCAAACAGGTGTTGCATTAACAGTTTTTGTGTGATTATTACGACCGAATGAAGGGAAAAAATTAGTCAAGTTGAAAAAATTTGTACTGCCAACACAAACAAAAAAAAATTCAAAAAAAAAAAATATAAAACTAAGTTTTCAGATTTATAAAGTTTATAAGGTAATCAATTTTAAAAACAGAGCGAGAAAAATTGTATCTGAAAAATACGTGCTTTACAGATCAGTCAATAAAACACAAAATCCGGATGTTGAAAATAAGCAAGTGAGTCAATGAAAGGAAGTCGAACGTATTTCGAACTTAATTTTTAATGTACCGGTCATTTTTTTTAATCAATAAAAGTGTGAAAATATTTTTTGTTAACTTTAAAGTTAATTCTGCTTGTTTAGTATCAAATTTAAAATATATTTTTCAGACATTAATAATTCATGCCATTACTTTGAGATAAGTTATATTTGTTTAGTTTTTATGTTTAATATACTTTGATTAATATTATTTTATGTAGCGATAAAACCCATAAGCATCACATACACACATCATAAATAATAATCAAAAAAATTAAATTTTTATAAAGGATATTAAATTATATTAAAGAATGTATTAGTTATAGTAATAATGTATAAAATTTAAATGCTTGTACTCTTTGTTAATAACAAGACACAATTTTTGTAAAATATAAATAAATATATTAAAATTTGTATATTGTATATAAAATTATTATATGCAAATTCTAATTTATTTTTGCTCTGTTATTTATTAGGTTTAGCAGTCAACAACACAACTAAATTCAAAAAAAATATTCTACCACAAATAAAATGATATGTATTAAGAAGTTAATTATATTTTCGTATCTTTATAAATGTTTTCATAACAAACATCCACTTTATATACATTTTTGTGTAGAATAAATATCGTAAAAAATTCACAGGTGTACATCTTCGAAGTAATTAGCTCTTTTATAATTAAGAAAATTATCATTAAAAAGATAATTAAACAG